TATTATTATTATTATTATATCTCAAAAATAGACAAAGTCATACAACCTATAAAAAATTAGTGGGAAGCCGAGATACAATTTGGGCCCCTACTCCTCTAGCTATAGCAAAGCCTATCTTAGTGAAAATATGAGCAGCAACACGTGCCCCAATGTCCTAAGTTGTCGAGAACTTCTGAACCCGCTTCAGCAACGCAACAGCCTCCTTATCTAATTCCCTAAGTGAAGAAAAAGAGAATGGAAAAAAACCATATCCAATTGCTTGACAATTAGATTCGTACTTGACCTGCTTTCGATGAGCCGCATCAGCCACAACTCGTCCAGGAACAAAGTCAGATATCCTAGACTGTGTCAAAGGAGAAGACTCCGTCAAGTCAACACAAACATCGCGACCACAATCACAGGAATAAAGTAACACATCTGCAGGTCTGAGGGCCCTATCATTCCTTCCAGACAATCCAATGTCAACCTCCTTTCTTGCTGAAATCCCAGATTGACAGCAAACATCAACAAAGGTATCCTGAACAACATTGTGTCGATGTTTAATACCCACAATGCCACCGCACGACACCGCACGTGATCACCAAAAATATCCCGAGTAAAAACCTTTGAACAAGTAGAGCACGACGTCAAGATAGAGAACAATGGAACACCCAACCGGTAGCACAACACACATCGGTAACTCTTTGCGTTCATTGTCTGACCCAACCCCGAAATAGGGAGTGCCCAAAGCCAAGCAGAGGTGTGATCTCCCTACTGTGATTTCCACAATGCTGATTGTCGAGGAGATAAAGAAATGGCGGATTCTGTAGAAGCGGTAATCTTCGTGAAATGTATATCTGCCAATTTCTTCATTAGTTTATGGGCAGCGACCTCACTATGATTAATCAAGATGTCAGACTCCGTCGTTCCATTAAACAGACTCAATGCATCTCAAAGGCTCGACCAAGACCAACGATGCCAGCATGCCTTAGAAGCTTTGTCTATAACCCAACAGACTGTAACTAAGAAGCAAGAAAAGCATAACACCAAACATCACCCGTGGAAACACTAAGCCCTCCAAACGCAAATGGTAAGGTGGCAAGCCGCCACTACCAATCGCCAAACCCAGGCCCCGAATCAGTAACAATAGGCTCCAAGGATAATAGAAGAGCCACATCGAATGTGCGCTAAGCCACCTCAAAAGTATTAGGAGGACAAGTATGCAAAGCAAACTAGAGTTTAGAAACTCCGGTACATGCCCTAAGTAACAATAATTCACACTGAGGATCATCAAGCTTAGCAACCGTAAGCGCAATGGTCTTGGTCACCCTCTGCGTCACAAGCTCACCACTAAAACCGGAATCAAACTAGCGGGACCGCCAAGAAACTTAATACCATGCAAAGGTCAAGCTATATTAGGGGGAAAGACACCCACCAGCCTGCTTCGAGGGTCTTCTGTAGGCTAGAAAACTTCAGCTTTTTCCACGTTGAGATGTAACCCAAAACGAGGCCCTTCCTCCATAAACAGAACCTTCCCCACCACCAAAGTGTCACCAATAATAGTGTCGTCATCCAAAGACCACGCCTAGATACATACTTCAAAAGAAATCTCTGATTTTACACACCAGGGGTTGTAAAATCAAAGAAAAAAGCAGAGGACCAAGGGGATCACCCTGCTGCACCCCCTGATACGACCATAAGGTGTGGTCCCTAATATAATCTGGCTGGATTAGAGTAGCATAATTCAACCCATCACGAAATGCCCGGACAACGACAATGAACTTCACGTAACATGACCGCACGATCAACTAGATTGAAGGCATTTTGAAAATCCATTTACAGCATTGGAAGACCAACATCAGAACCACGATTCGCAATCAACCGATTCACAACATGAAGAATTGCCTCACCACCTGAAGAAACCTAAACACCAAATTAAAGACAATCAAAGTAACTTCGCAAAGACTAACCAACCATAACAGCACCCACCTTCAAAACCAGACATCGCCAAACAGTACCCACAGTTATAGGAAGAATACCACCACTTGGCTTGACAAGAGATGTGAGAAGAGCACTAGTAATATACTCTCCCAGTTCCATAGGACATCTTCCAGCTAGAAAGAGATTCACCACCACGGAAATAGAGTCAACTAACTCACCTAAGACAGCCACTGCAGCACCACTCAAGCAATCCATTAGGTGCTGAGCACGTAAACCGTCCCTACCACATGATGTGCCACGTGGAAAACTCTTAATCTGATCCAAAACAATAGCAGAACTAACAACGAGATGAAGGTGATCAACATGTATATCAGGCAAGGATGGAGTTGGAGAAGAAGGGTGTTTTGACTATAAATCCGCAAGAGTGGCCTCATTGTAAGGAGCAATGCCAGCAGAAGAAAGAACCCGGACTGCGGCGGTGTAATGCAATGGCCATTACAAATCTTTCGACAACACTGCTTGATATTACGCTAGCTCTTCCAAATCAAGGTCCTAGTCAGCATCCATCAAAGGGGGGACCTAGCTGTAATGCTTCCCGTAAAAGCAACATATAATGCTTCCCGTAAAAGCAACATATCACCACCTGGCTCACTCCAAGTACGAATAGCATTAGCAATTCTCTCTTGTTGTCGTTGCCGCCAAACATGTCGTTCGGTGTAATTATTATTATTGTTGTTGTTGTTAGTGTTATTTTTATTATTATAAATAAAAAATTGACAAAGTCAAACAATTTACAAAAAAATTGTGGGAAGCCGAGATACTGTTCAAAACGGTTGATAATAAAAATTATTAATGTAAGAATAATGTAATACTAATTATTATTATAATAAAATATATATCTAATAATTAATATAATACTAATATCAATAAAATTAATAATAATAATAATAATAATAATAATAATAATATCTAAACTCAATTGAAACGAACTGAACTGAACTGAAATTCGCTAAACTGAACTGATAATTAGCAGATTAGTCCAAAAGAACAAGGCATAACTTTTACATAATCTCTGTTCTATAAGTGAAGGGTGAGGTAATAAAGGTGTCCCCCTAAAAGTCCAAAACCCCACTCTTTCTTTAAATATGATATAGTCCCCATATATATATATATTGATGTAGATTCCTCAAGACCCACTCACAAGATATAATAACATTGGATTTTCGAATTAATGAAAACTAAAGAATTTACATATAAAATCAAAAGGATAGCATTCTAATCCTTGCAAGAATAGATGGTCTCTTCCTAATCGCAACTAGAATATGATCACAAGTCGCAACAAGTGATAATTAATTTTATTTATAGTCAAACAAGCAACGCTCTAAAGTTTATTTCCCAAAACAAAACACACACCTAATAAATAACTTTATTGATATGCACCCATATTCATTGATTGAAAAATCGTACAAAGATAAGATACGAAACTAATTAATAATCATAATCATAAAATTTAATAGAAAACTAGGAATCTTAATCATAATTATCTCCTAATCATATTTGTAACCAACAATTAATTCTATCATATCATAACTAAATTAAACAAATAAATATTCTAATAACCGAAACACTTAAAGCCTAAAAATAGGAAATTCTCTTTTAAGTGAAAGGTAAAGACGTATAGGAAAATATCGTAATAATTAGTAAACAAATTCTTATATGTGGCGTGACCACTTCATATATAAGTAATGGGGGTTATGGCAATGATCAAATGAGGTTACAATACCACAATGGAAAAATGCATGGGGTTACCCTTTTAAACAACTGAAGTTATTATTTTAATAATAATCAAAATAAAAAAGTGGAATTACTCAATTAAACAAATGGGGTCGGGCTACTTAATTATTTAATTAATAATGTTACTCGTATAATAATTGGGGTTACAGGGTAAATTAAGGTTACCCACCTGTATAGTTGTGGTTTCCCGTATTAACTAATGATGATTTTTGTTATAAACATATGTGGCCACGCCATGTGGCTACACCATGTGGCTGGCCACACACAATACTTATTGTTAATAATAATTAAACTACTAAAGGATACTGTATGTTCTCAAGAAACTCCACAAATCTTCAAGATTTACAAGAAAATTTCAATATTGTTCTCAAGCAATTGAATGTTCCAATAATCTTCAAGAAAAACCCATATTGATAGCCCCTGCATCATACTCCCCTTGCTTCTTCGAAAAAATCCACGAGCCTTGTAAGTATTGAGGGATTCACACATCAGATTTGATCTCGACTCTTGAATTCCACCCTCATGAGTCATGGCTTTAACCAATTGAGTTATTTGATCATCCACTCAATTATTTGGAATAATCAAGTTTTAGTTAATTGTTTTTGTTTACTATTGCAATGTCTACGTACATTTAACTCCTGTATTTGAATCTTTGACAGATCTTACACTACTTTATTTATTTATTTTTGTAAAAAAAGGAGTGTTTTGAATTTTCTTACTCTCACAGGAATAAAAAAGAACAAAAGATGTAATATTTTAAGAAGCGCAACAAAAAGTTGGGAGTTTTCCTATTTGAGAAAGCGGGATTTTACTATGAAACATGCACTTTTTGTTTTATTCTTAAGGTATGTATAGGAGAGAAGAGAGGGTGGGATTGTATACACAAATTGAAAATTGATTATTTTGGAAGGAACCAGCCCAAACTAGTTCAGATCAATTACTGCATATATTACTTGTGTAAAATTTTAACTCAAAAGCTAGTAGGGCTGACTTTAAATGCAAATATCTCCCAAACTACAAGTTATTTTGAAGTGATTCAAGTTGGAAGTGATAGCTGGTTTCAAGAGCTTTCCAACTATAGGTCATATGCCCAATTCCGATAAGAAACGAGAAAGTTATGGCCGTTTTACGAAAACCTGACGAAGCTGAAAAATTGCGACGAGCAGGCGAGCTATGGCTCTAGGCGAGTGAGCTATAGCTCGGCCCTATGTAGACTTGCGGCAGGCTTGAGCTAGCTGCACTTCGGTTCTTGTGGGATAAATTATGGATATTTCCTAAAATTATATCTTTTTTATGACGGCTATTTGAGTATACTTGAGAACAATTTAAAGTTTTATTAGGGTTTCTTTGTGTTATAAAAGGACCCTAGATCATACCTTTTGAGCCATTAGATTTAGGACTCCTTGTATTATTCTCTCTTTTTTTTTTTTCTCCAATATAGTGAAGAAGCTCTCGAATCCCTCACCCGTGGATGTAGGTCTAATTTCAACGAACCACGTAAATCCTTGTGGTCTTTGTTTATCTTTTTTATTGCTTTTCTTGTTCTTAGTTTTCATTGACTTGTTCCGCATTAATCAAACACAATTACACCCTGTATTTCCTAACAACTTCATAATAGAGTATAGAATAACGGAGTTTCTAGTTAGTAAATTATAAATGCATTTGAATGTTACACCATCACATTCTCTTCTATCTAGCAATGACAAAAATCATATTCCGAATTGCCATACATAGTCTCAACACCTTAGCCCTAAGACCAAGCTTTTTGATCATTTCAAGTACCAAATTAGAAGATAGGACCGGCTGAAACAATCTCCTCTGTGAACTTGTTGTCCTTGCCGATCTGGTAGTTTGTGAACACCTCAAAGTTGTTCTTAAATAGTCCAGCCAGTTTTAACAGTGTGTCCTTGTAAGCATCCTTATCCGGCCACTACAACACAAATGAAAAAGGGCAATTGAGTTTAATATCACAAGAATTTAGAATTTACTATACAAAGCAAGGTGGAGAGTCATAGAGAAAAAAGTAACTAACAGCGTTAATAGGATCAAGGATTTCTGAAGGTACTCCCTCTATTTTAGTTGGGATCTCAAGCCCAAAGACTTCCGTCTTCTTGTAGTTTGCATTCAGCAGGGTGCCTGAGTGTATGGCATCGATTATCTTACGTGTGTATTGCAACTTGATACGACTACCCACACCATACCTACATAAGCCAAAACAAATTACAATATCATCTTGTGTATCAACTAGCTAATCTAATGATTCTACACTATCATTATATTACAAAAAGGCAAATAATCTCAACACAAATCTTTGCATTATACCTTCCACCAGACCAACCAGTGTTGACAAGCCACCCTGTGGCGCCGTACTTCTGCATCTTTTCAGCAAGCATCGCAGCATACTTAGTAGGATGCATCATTATGAAAGCTGCACCAAAGCAGGCTGAGAATGTTGCCGTTGGCTCCTTTATTCCATCTACCGTGCCAGCCACCTGTAGTTTCAAGGGAATCCAGTTACAGATCAATTATGCCATGTAATTTACACTCATTACTATGTTTAGTTGGACTACTTTTGATCTTACCAGAGCGGTGTAACCACTGATGAAATGGTACATGGTTTGAGGAAGGTTCAACTTGCTCACAGGTGGGAGCACACCAAAAGCATCACAAGCCAACAGTATGACATTCTTCGGGTGAGGTCCAACACACGGTATCTTAGCATTTGGAATAAACTCAATAGGGTAGGCTGCTCTAGTATTCTCTAAAACACAAAAACAAGGTTTGCCTCAAATGATGTTCTGCCAAAATAAGTAGGATAATCAATCTGTTTTCTAACCTGTAACGGATTTGTCTGTGTAATCTACTTCACGAGTGTGCTCATCGAATACCACGTTCTCAAGCACTGATCCATTTAGAAAAGCAGAAGCCTCAGGTTTTATCATTCAAGTATGGTAATTATTTGGAATTTAAGTTTACAAAATTGGTAAGAAAAATATATACCAGTTCCAAATTTGATGGCATTCCAAATATCAGGCTCTTTTTCCCTTGACAGATCAATACACTTAGCATAACAACCACCTTCGATATTTGATACACCATTATCACTCCAGCAGTGCTCATCATCACCAATCAAGTAACGATTATGATCGGTTGACAGAGTAGTTTTCCCAGTACCTAATGAAAAAAGCCATGGAATTATGTATCATACTTGTATTCAAAGAGCGTAGTGGCAAGGTAGATAGCAAATATGACAGTGTGACAAGCTAGCGCAACATCTTAATTGTCCTTCAATCCAAAAATCAGGGAATACTACTATACCTGATAGGCCAAAGAAGAGGGCCACGTCACCATCTTTTCCCATATTGCAGCCAGAATGGAGAGAAAGAATTCGACGCTTAGGCATGAGATAATGCATTACACTGAAAAGACCTTTCTTCATCTCCCCAGCATACTGAGTGCCGAGGATGACCATCTCCCTTCTAGCAAGATTAAGGTCTATGCTAGTCGAGGATGTCATGTAATGGGTATAACGATTACATGGGAACTTTCCTGCATTGTATATAGTGAAGTCTGGAGTACCAAAATCCTCTAGTTCCTCGGGTGTAGGTCGGATGCACCTGTCACCCATCCAGTTATTAAATTTGCACACACACACACACACACACACACACAAAGCTTGATACATCCATTTTCAGTGTTATTAGTACTTATTATTACATGTACACTTTCTTTTGCAAAGGATTTTTATTGCTAAGAACCACCTTATCACCTTATGTATATATTTCATTTTGTTGAAACTTTTTAAAATTAAAATCATACAGTATAGACATCTTAGAATAAGAAGCCAATATAGGAGATTAAGCCTTTTGACAAATGAGAGCACAAGCAAGTAAGAAAACTGCAACTAAGATTAGATACTTACATGTTGTGCATGAACAGAGAATGATAAGCTCTTGCAGATACAATCCTTACTTTAATTTTGTTCTGTGGATCCCAGTTGAGAAACTGATCGTTCACGAATACCTGAAATATATTTTTCACATTGATTAACAGCCATTTAATAAGAATTCTAACGTTCATCACTAGTATGTCAACTTATTATGCTTAGCTTCTTGCAATAGAACTTCAAAGACAGTCCCCACAGTAAACTTGATCGTGATGAAATTCTTGTGAACAAAAGACATTTAACACCAAAGTACATTTTGTAAATTTAATCAGCCAAATTTTCAAGTCATCTCCAATTCAGCCCGAATTTGAGGAAAAAATAAATCAGAATATGGGCATTATAAGGCCCAATTTGTATCTTTTGGCCTGAAAAACCCACATCAACCCGGCCCAATATAATTAGTTTTGGGCATAAATTTTCTAACCTGGAAGTTTAACACAAAATGGTTCACTTCTTTAGAAATATATCGGCCTAGCCCATGACCGCCTCTACTCTCGTCTTTATGAACTCACTCCATACGTAGCTTATATTCATGTGACTATAAAAATTCAGACAAAGCGGGTGGAAAACAACAAATCTCCTCTCTCTCTCTCACACACATTATTGGCATACATCTAGCACACGACAAATCCGTAACGACACAGAGGTGTTATACAGCCATATTTCAGATTCGGAGAGCAAAAGGGACTGATTTAATTTGTGTATATAGGAAGACAACAACGAACTATTGAATGGGAAAGTCTCCATACATCCAAATAACATGAACGAACATGCCAAAACGGAGACAATAAAATAGAGGTGATATTCCCAAGTAAAGGATAGGACTCAGAAGAGGAAGCACCTCTGCTAACATACGGCAAAACATAAAACTTCTTCCTATCGTCACATCCCTCACTTCCCCATATTTTACTCCAAGTTCAACCTGCCTATTACATCACTATTTTGTTTTCCTTTCACACACCATAACTCCCCCTCGCTCAATAATGTTATTCTAGGACTATTTTATACGCTTCCTCCGATTATTTTGTCATCTTGATTCTGAAATTTATACAAGGACTAAGGTTTAATAGATGGACACAAAGTTTCCTAACTCGAGTCCCACGTAAATAAAATACCATATTTAATTTGTTCCTTAGTTTGTGAGTGTGTTAGCATTATACTAGTGGGAGAAAGGCAAAGGTAATAAGGTTTTTCACCAAAATATGTCACTCTAATTGAACAACGGCTTCACATTAACATAAACAAATATTTTTTATTTCTTAAACATTAATGAACTTGACAAATTACTGGAATAACATCCAAAGAGATACAAATGGAAAGAAAATAACCTTGTCTAAAGAATTCAAATAATCAACAGCCCTCTCTCGGTTAACCATGAAGGTATGTTCGTCCATCTCAATGTTAGGCGAACCTCTGCAACATTATGATTGCACACAAGATATGATTAAAAACTCATTTTGTTATAAAATTAGTAGCTAAATGAAGTATACAAAGCGAGATAGAAGAGGATGAGACGACAAATATGGTCTTACTTGCCCCACCAAAGCTCATCCTCAGTAGTCTCATCCTTTACAACACGCTTGTCTCTAGGAGCTCTCCCTGTTTTTGCTCCTGATAATGTTGCCAATGCACCATTTGATGTAATAAACGACCCTTTTTCATATTTGATTGCCTGCTCATACAGTTCTGCACCAACAACCCCAATTCAATTACTCCAATTCCTTGACAAAAATTCTATAATTGGATTTATTCGATCTTGAGTTACTTATTGTAGCACTAAAATCTGTCATTATGTTCGGTTGTTTGTGTGGTTGCACCAATATTGGTGTGACCAACACCAGCGGTTCATAGGGTGATTTGTTGTACAAGTGATCGACTTGTTACATTATTGACGCATGACTTATTACTTTATAGTCCATACATTGGTCAGCCGTGACATGTTAGCTGAGACAAATCTCACCCAATTCCAAATGAACTACAAATTACATGTTTAAATCATGCATGCGTGCCTTACATATAAATCACTAAATGGAAGTTTAAACAAAAAAGGGTGATAAATATTGTACAACTAGTTATGCAATATAAGTTTGAATATCTTGAATTATAAAAGATAAAATTGAGAGTAGAAGTACTACCCGCCGGGGATAGGTTGTAGAGGACATGAGTAAATTTGAGAGCGCTGTCACTGACGCTGATCGTCGGAACAACCGGGTGATGATGCACATGCTTAAAAGCCTTTCCCGGGTCTCCTCTTACCACCTTTGGCCCTGTCTCTCTTGCCGAAGACGCCAATGACGCACTAATAGCCACGTTTCAAACCCAAACAAGAAAAAGTCAATCATTGACATGGCTTTATGAATTCTCAATATAATGACTCGTAATAGTAGAGACTCCTCGGTTTTATTTTACTTGCCGCTTAAAATTATACAGTAAATGTTAGTCGGGAAACGAAAATTTGTTAGTTGAATTGCGAAAATTGGAGAAGTTTGTTGCATATGAAAGTTGGAAAGAGATGGTACAAGAACTGTTTAAAAAGGGTTTGTTGAACGACAAAAAAAAAAAGAAAAAATCATGTTAGATGGCACAAAATGTACATCGTATTAGATGAAGCAAATAACACAAAATTTTGGATGGGGGATAAATTGAAAAGGTTCCACCCAAGTTTAGTTTGACAAAAATAAAAAATAAAAAATAAAAAGTTTGCTCAAGAAATTCTGATCTGTCCTAATTTTAATTATCTTACCACACAATTTTTAGCATGTGGTAACTTGTTATTTCGTTCAAACGAGCTGAAGTTGCTTAGCAAACTACATTACCTATACTTATGTCAACAATATTGGATCAACAAGAAAAGAAATGAACACCTTATTGACCATAAAGAATCCTTGGGTAGAGCGGATGATGGTGTCAAATCCTCAATCTCCCTAGGACTCACTTCGGTCAGTCCATGATCATGGACAATGTGACCCTCATGAATTAAAGCACGAAACCCATTTGCGCCAAACGGGTTGAGACTTGGTGCGGTTAGAATTGCTGCTTGATGTGTCTTTTTGTACACAATAGCAACAGTTGATGCCAAAGCAACTAATGGGTTTTTTTGGCTTATTATTTGGCAATGTAGAAGAAGGTTGTTGGGTTTCAGCAACAGAAAAAGAGGTGAAGTTTTCAGAACATGTGTCAGCTTGGTTCTCATCTATGAGTATTGGGTTTACCCTTGATGACCTTCCCCTGCTTCCGCTTCCTACATTGCTTCTGATGAGCAACTTCATCAATGTTAGCCCGTAATTTCACAATTTTCAAAATACTTTTGTAAACTAAGAGTCATCCATGAGTCTATAGAAAACCATTGTAATCTTTAGATTACGGTTTTCTATTATAAGATACAAATCAAGGTTCATATGGGTTTAAAAATGTTGAAGGTAGGTAGTTTTACGTTATACAATATATATACTCGTACTTTGTAGTTTGTACTTAGTATTCAATACTCTAGATAACGGATTTTTTAATCTTTTATACTAGTAGAATGTTTTAGTCGAGTTTCGAGAGATGAGAAAATCAATATTTCATCATAGAAGTAAATATGAATTACTCTGTAGGACATGATCAAAAATTAAAGAAAATCTAACATAGCAAATGATACGGAAAATTTGTTCTGCATTGGAGCAGATTTTGAATTAGTAAATGACACGTATTTTGGATGGCCCCACAAAGAAAGCCATTTGCAATGCTTTTGTCTTGGTCACGAGTATTTTTTATAGTTCATTATCATTGTTTAAACACTTGTAAGCGAGAATTGTAAGGGATTTTCCCCTCTAAATCTATACAGTTAGGAGTTAGGAGTTGGGATTAGAACTTAGGAGATATCATCTTATAACGTCATGGTTACAAGATGAAAATCTCAACCCATTGAAGTTAATATAGACCAAGATTATCAATTTACGATTATCATTCGGCACGATAAAAGGACATTTTGATGACTTTGTTGGATTGGATAAGTTAGACATGGTCAATTAAATTAGACGGAGACTTATTAATAATTAAAATATGTTAATTAATGTCATATATTACTCAGTACATTACAAAAGATAAAGGGGTAACAATTAAATTCAATGATGCAATGCCCTTGTAAATGCCGCCATTGCTTCCTTTTATCTTTCGGCTTCTTGTAATTTCAGATTACAAATTTTCAACCCAGTAGACTCTTTGTCACGTGCCAAAATTCTTCAAAATTTTGTTTTTTATTATTCTTGGGGGCAAATTCACCAATTATAATTGTTTTTTACGTAATTGTTTCCTGGGGATTTCTTGTGCTACCTAACTAATTCCCGTATAATTTCCATCCATAAGTATGAAATAAGATTTGTCCATATTATACAATGTCCATTATAAATGACTTCGTAATCAATTTTGGGGTGACTTAGGAAATGATATTTAAGAATCAAACAAACTTATTTATAGGATAATATCATTACTTTCGTACATTGGAATGATATTTTTTTACTATATTTTATGGGTTAGTATTACATAAGGATAGTATGTACATTTTACCTTTTGGATTACATTTATCTTACAATTTTGAGTTTTGATGATACATTCGCCATTTTTATTATTTGTTTTTTTTTTTTTTTATGGAAAGTGTTATATTTAAAATGGAAATATTAAATCAAATCAAACATTAATTACATTGATTTGATTTTTTTATACATGTCCAAATTAATACCGAATAATAATATTCGAAATATATTGTAATTGCTTACATGCATATAAACTTGTACAATGTCACAAGAATCACAAGTCACAACCCATAAAGTTACACGTATACAAACATCATAGTGTACTTCGTAATTAGTATGAGACTTTGGGCGACTCATAAAAATAAAAAAATCAAAATAAGAACAATATTTAGCAACGGGATGAATATTAACATCACCACAACCCTAAAAATATACTTGGTGTAAATAAATCATTTGCATGACGTGGCAATCAAAAACGATCGATGCGAATGACGTTAATTTTAAAGCACGAGAATTAGAAAAGTACCTAATGGATTGGAGTTGCTGTCGTTGGCGTTCCTCTTCGGACATGGCAAAAGTGGCAACAAACGAGGAACCGGTGATTGGGGTTGTGGGCGCTGATTTTTTCTTCTGTAAGGAATGAAGTTCGTCAATGGTTTGAGCCTTCACCGGTAATGAACTATCATCATGGCAAACTTCATTCCCCTTTTTCCCGCTTCCATTTGTTTGTATTCTCGTTAGCCCCTTCCCGGGCATAACCACGTTTCTGTTTCCGTTCCCGTTTTCCATATCTGTATGATACACGACATCCAAATAATATTATAAACAATGTCGATATAATTTGTAATAATACGCTTGTAGCTCATTCATTAGTCTCAATAAAACTATCAACTTTTTTAATAACATGATGTTATTAATTTGAACAACTAATATGACAACAATATGTATACATAACGTACCGCTTAGTAACTAAAATTTTAAGAGGCTGATTAATACACACCAGAATATGGTTGATGAGTAAGAAAATAAAAAAAGAGAAAATTAATGAATAAAGGAAAAGCGTAGCATAAAAACGAAGAGTTTACGGAGAAATATGAAGAAATGAGAAGGATGAGTGTTGAAGTAGCACAAGGGCATCTTTATATAGTGAACGTTTCCGGGTTTAGTGGGGCCATAATAGGTGGGGCCTATGATATTATTTAACTATAGTTAGTTTATATTATAACTTATGGTTGAAATCTTATCCATGATTTGATCTCCAGCTCTTCTATGAATTGATACAATATGGAAAAAGTCCATATTTTTAAGGCTTTATTATTCTTATTTTGATTTTATTATTAATTAATATTGGAGTTAAGAATTACGATTATAAACGCGCTTTTAAAGTGACTTTTTGTCTCTTTGAGTTGTTTTAAAGTCATTTTTTGATTTTGGGTTATAAGCCTTAATTATGATTTATGATCATATATTCATATGCCATTGTCCTGTTCGATTTTGGCGTATTTAATACGATCATAGATTTATAGTAAATCAGGATGATCCTTTTTTAATGGAGAAAGAGATCTTTATAATCTTTACCAATTTAATTTATGTTTAATAAGAAGAATATACTCAATAATAAACTATACGAATCGGGGTAAAAAAGTTTTAAACTCTTGTACTTCTTTTCTACTCGCTTTATTCGAAATTAATTTATCATGTTATAAGTTTAAATTACACTATTCATCATAATATAAGAAAACAATTAGCATTATTCAAAAAAAAAAAAATTAGCAAACAAGTTGATTATTAACCAAATTAAAAGAGCAATCAATAGGTCATTAGCTATATCTTGTTACAAACTTCCTTCGTTATTGTTCAAAAACTTTCGCATGTGGCTGGTCACACCGTGTGGCTAGCCATCATTGGGGTTACTTTGTTGTAATATTAGTTACTCGGTCAGTATTATAGGAATTACTCCGTCAGTGTTATAGGGGTTAGTCGGGCAGAGTAATAGGGGTTACTTTGTTCTTTTACAAGCGTCAAGCGTCACATGGTGTGGTCAACCGCACACAAAATGCGCTGGTTTTTATTAAGTCAAGACACTTTCTTTTTTTTCCTGTTAATAGGTTATTTAAACTGTTTCAATTTTTTTATTATCATCGATCGGTCCATAAAATTTATGGAGTATTAAAAGTTGTATCAAAATATCATTTAAGACATATTTAACAAAATTTTACATGGTCATTCCATTGACATGGATCATCAAAGATATTCAAAGTAAATTACTCCATCTGTGAATGGTACAACAACATAAAGTTACAACTAAGACTTTGTTGGGTTTGACATAAACATTTTCAATGAAAAATTATTTTTCATGGAAAACATTTTTGTAAGGAAACTACAATTGCAAAAAAAAATCATTTATTTGTTTCCTTTAATTTCAGAAAAGTTAATATATATATTGAAAATAGGAGTGGAAAAGTGAAAATAGATAAGATCGAAGACCGTAAAAATTGGAAACATAGCTTCCACTATTTAGAAAAGGAAAATCTTTCCAACCATTGAGAATTTAATTTACACCATCTGGATAATTATTTTTCACCCTTTCACAAACCCAACAAGGAAAAATAAGGAAATTGATAAAAGTGATTTTTCATTAGAACAATTAAATTATATCAACCAAACACACCCTAAATGAAAACTCTAGAAGTATACCCTTTCATCTATATATATATAAGAAATCCTTGTACTAAATATATTTACAAAAGCAATATTGTTTTTTTTTTTTTGGTTGTAGTAATGAATTATATGAACTATACTATTACTTTTAAATACTCACCAACTAATCAACTATATCCTCAAGAATAGAAGTGTCAAAAATTGACTCAACCCACCGATCTGATAACAACCACATTTAAATTTTAACTTGTACGAACACAATAATTTAACATGACTTAAATTTAAAATGAGCCATACCTAACCCGACCCAAGCCAGACACTACCCAAATTGACACCTTTACCTAAAGACCTCAATTGATAAAATCTACAAATCTTCAGACTTATATGGTTGCTAAAAATTCCCTTTAAAAAGCTAGATTGGCCAATTGGAGACCCATGCCACAGACATAGTAAATATTCGATCAACAAACATACTATTTTACCATTTTGGAAAAAATTAATACAGTATTTGTTAATCTTCATCATACACATCTATATGAGAGATAATCGAAAAATAAAAAAAAATATTGAATGCGATATTATGGTTGATAATTATTCATAATCTTAAATTTAATCATATACCTAATTAAGAGATTAGAGATGTCAATCATTTTAATAAGTTGGTAATAATAAACCTTATGATATTTGCTGGACTTCTTCCAAATTATCATAATCTAACCATGCTCGAGCACAAGATACATAGGCACAACAAATTACAATGTATGTCATGTTGTGGCCTGCGGGTCGAGCTTCTGCCACTTTTTTTAATAGAAAGACCCAAAAAATAAGCACGATATAATGATATGGTCCGACATGACAAAGTACACTTGTTATAAGTGAAATTGACAAGTTACAACACAATAGATGTGGCATTGGGTTGCGTCTAGGCCTTTTTTCGGCACAACACGTATGTAGTAAGCTTGATCGTAGTCCAAAACTAGAGGTGATCATTAGGCGGGTCGGGCCGAAACTAAAAAATTATGCCCGCTTCTCGAGCCGTGTCAAGGTTCGGGCCGGAATTTTTGTGCCCAAACCCATTCAAAATGGTCGGACCGTGCGGACTTTTCGGACCGGGCCTAAAAATCAATTAAATATGCATAAAAACGCATTCTCAAACCCGCCCAAAAAATATAAATTTTTGGACCAGACCAACAGACCGGGCTAACTTTGATGACCTCTATCCAAAACGCACAGGCTCAAGCCGCTCGGCACACATGACCTGACACTCTTCACATCTATCTTCGACGTGACCTTAGATTTAATTTCACGTACTCTGATCCCACCAAACTTAGGAAAATGATATCGAGAACTATATGAGCTTAAATAATTGCTTGTACGGTGAGTCAAAAAGAAATTTGGCATTAGGTAAAAATCGCAAACACTCAAGCTTGACGTAAGGAGTTACAAAGTCAACCCTAAACACAGCTGTTGACAATGTATAAAAATAACGATTTGAAAATCAAATAACATAGGAAGGATTACAACTCACTAATCACAAGAATTTTGACATAGAAATATAATATCTTCATATACATGATTAATTTCATCTGTTAGCACGTGTTGTTTTGATAAGCAATGTAATTTTTGATAACATAAACCGAATATAATAAAGTTTATTCAAAGAATAATTGATTTAGCCGTTAAGTTTATAAGTTTATTCCATGAATTTAACATTAAGATTGCATATATAATAATTTTGTGATAAGGTTGATTTGTTCGCAAGATAAGGACTCATATCCACATCATTTTATGTAGAGTTAGTTGTGATTTGTAAATGATTTAATTTCCATATAATCAGCACCTTAGTGTGTATTATGTGTAACTTAGTCTCTACATTTTTAGGTTATAAATTTTGGGTTTTGTCCTATTTGTATGAATATGACAACAATTTTTTTACACCATCGTGGAAGCAACGTAAAGATAATCCATGTCAAAGCTTAATCAACGCATTACTAGGCTGTTTAAGCTAATTAATTCATTAAACATTGTTGTGCTGCCTAATAAAGATGAGTGCCTGGCTGCCCATAGGCCGTAGATTAGCCTACACATAAATGGCGGATGACCAAAATCTAAAATTCTATTACCTCCGTTTTGTAATAATCGTAACAATTCAACTTTTGCACTATTTATATGCTTCTTTTTTTTTTTCTTGAAAACTGCACTATTTATATGTTTATTTGTATTATGTTTCTTTTATTACCCGTGTATAAAAAACATATGTTGCCATATAATATATTTTTGGAGTAGTCTTTATGTATATTTTCATTATATAACTTTATATATTTCTTAATAATATACTTCGTATAATTATAAATACTAATGATCAAAGTTATCTATTGGCTTATGTGCTAGTTAAAATGTTATGATTATTAAGAAATAGATGTAGTTAGTATAAGCTTATTGGTATCAAACTGAATTGAAAATCATACGAAATATACAGTAGATTTCAAAATCTGAAAAATACTATAAATATAATGTTGGATCAAACAAATTTTCCTCGATAAAAGCTATGATTATTATTGTAGATGAATATTTGAAATATGTATGTAATCCTCATCATAACTTCCCCTTCAACAAATACATTTGAATGTAGTAGGCTAAGTTAAAAATAACTTGACCATAAAAACCGTATCGAGAAACTTAATTGTGAGCTAATGAGCATCATTTTTTACACTATATTCTAGCCATGTTCATGAGATATTAGGGTAGTTCCTTTAGCAATGTAGTGTTTTAATTTATTTTTTTGGCATTTGTTATTTATTTCTCTTTTTTTTTTCTTTTTTTTTTTTTTTTTTGAAACCTTGTGTGTTGAGTCAATTTGGATGATAAAAACATGAAGCAAAGAAAATGAAACAATGTCAATGCAAATGGATCAGGTGCTAAGTTCTTGCAGTGAAACTCAGTTTGGGAAACTAACGCAACAACAAAGGTTGTTGCAGTAATAAACTACCCAAACAATACATGTAAGTGTCTCTTATTGAAAAATAAAGAGATATTTAAGCACTTTATAAGGTTATAGGGTTACTCCTCCTATTGCCATATGGTTTTGAGGTGAAACTTCCTTAAAGAAACTTGCTAGACGATTTAAAATTCGTCCAGATTCATTGTAGCGTGATAGTTAGTTCATTGTTTAGAAAATAATTTAGGAAAAATTGACAATAGCAGTCCCAATTATGACAAGTTTTATTTAAAAGGTACGGTCCCTACTATTGATTAACTTAGCCACTTAGGGGATCCTTCTCAAAACGGTCCCTAACATATTTTTAACCGGTTATGGAGCCACGTGTCTTGTTTTCATTAGGCATATTTAAGAAAATTAATCCTACACCACTCTAAACACCCATCCCCTCCCTTTTACACCATCTTAATGTTATTTTTTTAAAAAAAAACGGACCACTAAAAATTGAACACATGACAATTTTAAATAATTTACCTGATCATTATAAGCTAGGGAATGTTTTAAGAAAGACACCCCCAAAGTTTGGACTGTCATGAGTTAATCAATAGTTGGGACTGTTTAAAAAAGAATGTCCACAGTTGAAACTGGTAACATCAATTTTTCCAATAATTTATGAATTTTTGCAAGCATTTGTAGCTGGAAGGAAAATGCATTTGAAAAGAAGAAGATGCTGCTATAATTTCTCAAATGTTTCCTGATAATGGCTAAGACATTATTCTCTTTGCATGAAATAAGATGTTACGGTCTGAATTTTTTAAAGCCTAGTTTGATTTAATAAGAAAATTTGTCAATTGCAGCCATTTAAAAAAAAAATACAAATTGCAGCCCAAAAGTACTAATAAATTGTAAATGACAACCCATTTTAATATTTGCATCGATTTGCATGCCAAAAAATATTCCATTAATAGGGGCCATTTTAGTCCTTAAGGTTCCAAATTGAGCTCGGAATTGTCAAACAATTAAAGTAAGTGGCTCGTTTTCACGGCAAAAATAGGTGCACACAAATCGATACATTTTTTATGCGCAAGACGAGACACTTATGTTTTTATTTCAATTCCGAGCTCAATTCGGAGTCTTAAGGGCTAAAATGACCCCTATAACCTTTACGAATTACTTTTCAGCACGCAAATCGAAGAAAAAATTGATTTGGGTGGCAATTAGCAAGTTATTAGTACTTTTGTGCTGCAATTTGCAATTTTTTTTTTTTAAATGACTGTAATTTACAAAATACAAACTTTAAATAACTGCAATTGACAAATTTTCCGATTTAATAATCTGTTTTGCCTAAATTTTGACCTTAATTAAACATCAAACGAGACTACACTTTTGTATCATTTCTAAAATGGGCTTGGCCTGTTACAAATTCTATTCAACAACCTTAATATCAAAAACTCCAAGTCAGGCCCATCACTTGTCGCACCACATTAAACGACTCTACACTTTCCCGGCCCCGTTTTCGGCGCCGTTGTAACCGCCAAACATGGACTACAACAACAAGCTTGTTCTTGCTCCTATGGTTCGAGTTGTAAGTCTCCTCTCTTTCTCTTTCTCTTTTGACTTATTATTTGACGCTTTCACTCTATCCCCATAAGTTCCAACTTCAATTCTGCTTATAATTGACGATATTGGGTTTTATTTATCAGTTGGGTATTAGAGTTTTTCATGTTATAATGATGGGTTGACAAGAAATTACATGGATGAATATGATGTTGTTAGGGTACACTGCCTTTGAGGTTGTTAGCTGCTGAATATGGTGCTGATATCACTTATGGGGAGGAAATTATCGACCATAAGCTTGTTAAGTGCGATCGTATCGTTAACGGTTCTTACTCTTACTTCTATTTGTTTACTTTTTGGGTGTGAATTTGTAAAACTATGGTACTATTAGGTGGATTGATTTATGTGTTATTGTTGCCAGATTATTTGGGTACGATTGATGTTGTTGAGAAAGGGACTCAAAGTGTGGTATTTAGGACCTGCCCGGAGGAGCATAACCGGGTCGTGTTTCAGATGGGGACTTCTGATGCTGTTAGAGCTCTCAAGGCTGCCCAACTTGTGTATGTTTCTTTACCATTTTCAATAGGATTGTTAGGTGATGTAAAGTTAAATTAGAGTACTTACAAATTGTTTGAGAATGAACATAGTTTTGAGCATCCTAAGTTTACATTTAGATTTATCTTACACTACTCTTGCTTTAAAATTTTGATGCACAATCACTTGTATGTATCACACCAATGCTTTTTGTCTCAAATATCATTAATACCATGTCACTTGACAAAAAGAATAGGTAATGAATCCTCAAAGGGGAAAAATAAAGAACGAGGCTGTTTATATGTTCCTTTTTGGATTTCTTTGAGGAGGGAGATAATTGAAGTATGACTCTCCGCTCTTGGGGAGAAATCTATGAAATGACCAATTGGAGAGTCAATTCCCCTAGTTTTACTTTAATTTTTTTTGTTTTAGCACTGGAGTTAGTATTTCCTTATAAAAGAGAGAGGATGCAGAGACTTTGTCATTGTATGTGCTGTAACTCCTGTAAGAAAATTTTACACGCACAATGTTTATTACTTTAAATCTCTTCTTGAAGAAACATGTATCTGTTGAATGTGGATCTATTCAGTGAGTAGTGTGATGCTTAAGGCTGTAAATAATAAGCTCCTGCAATAAATTCTTGGCTATATGATTATATAGTAGCTGTTAGGCACCGATAACACACCCTGATATTGTCCCTTTATGAACTTTTAAGTGGTCTAAGATCCATCCTTAAGTAATGTAGTATCTCGTTCCTTCAATTTATCTGATCAAGGCTTCAAGCCAATGTTCTTGGTCATGGGAATTGTTGGATACTTTGGAATATTTACACTTTGTTTGGATAGCAAGAGAAGGGAAATGAAGGTAATAAGAGAAAGGGAGGGGGAACGTGGAGTTCATTTTCCCTTCAAATCTCTTCAATTTTGGAGGAATGTTGTTTATATAAGAGGGAAAGCAAATGGACCCCTCCCTCGCCTTCTCATTCCTTCCCCAATCTCTTATCCAAACAAGAGGAACCTGATCCCTTCCGTAATTTCTAGTCTTCTATCCATTTTCTCTTAAACAAAGTGTTAACTTGAAATCTAATGCTATCTAACCCCACCCCCCCCCCCCCCCCGCCCCATAGGAAAAGAAAAACATAAAAACAGTGCGCAAAGAAATGGTTTCGGACTTCCCTTGGCTTATTAAAACAAAGAAATGGTTTCAGACTTCCCTTGGCTTATTAAAACAAAGAAATGGTTTGTCATGTGTGATTCTTGTGTTTAATGAACTGATTGTTGGAGGAATTTTATAAACTAGTCGATATGAAGGTATTTTGGAATTAAAAACTTGCTATTATTGAATATGATAGTAAATTATGAAGAAGAATTTATCAACAATGCACTATAAAGGCCTATTTTATAGGCACTACAAAGCTACTGTAATGAAGCACAAGTCCGACTGTCCGAGGCGCATGAAGTCGGAAGGGCAAGTCAAGAATGTTTCGGCCATGAGTATAAGTTGGAAGCTTACAAGGACATTAGCACGCAATGTGATGCTGTTTTGGTGATGGCCATTACCGATAGACCTCTTCGAAATGGGCTCTTAAAAAGGATGAATATAACTTTGCTTGTAAGGGCCAGGAGCATGAAGATTCATGTGGTTCTTTTGAAATGCTTTGGTGGATGTGATAAGTACCACTAGTTATTCATGCTCGTTGCTTGAATGCTTGTAATCACTATTTATATTTATCAATTACTCCATAATGCATCTCGTCGGTTAACTCCCGGATTTCAGGTTCCCACATATAATTTTGGCGTGTTCTCTCTTTGCCTTCATCTTTTGATTTCCGTTTTGTTCAAGTTGAGTATTGCTGATTATCAAAAAACAATTGTTGCTGCAGAGGTGATTCTATGCATTTTAATTAGAATAGTTCTAATAAGCTGCAGAGGTGATTCTATGCATTTTAATGAGGGGGGGGAGGGTTATCTTATGCTGTGATCATGCGGTTTACTGAAGTAGATCTTCCTTCACAGGTGCAATGATGTTGCTGCTGTTGATATCAATATGGGTTGTCCCAGGTCATTTTCTATTAGTGGGGGCATGGGTGCTGCATTGCTATCAAAGCCAGAGACTATTCACGATGTATGCCATTCTTCAAAAATCAGAAGTCTTTCAGTTGTCTCTATGTTGTGTGTTATATTTCAATTTATCAATAAATGTTTTTTCCCCCTTATTCCACTCACCTTGTCTTTGTTGTTCATTTATGGCTATAATACAACAATCTGATTGGCTTATTTCCTTAATTCAGATTCTGACAACATTGAAGAGGAACCTAAATACCCCCGTAACATGTAAAATACGACTTTTGAAAACATCTCATGACACTGTGGAATTGGCCAGACAGATTGAGAAAACAGGTGTTTCTGCTCTTGCTGTCCATGGAAGGTTGTGCTTACCTCCTTTGCTTTTGTTTCCCCTCCTATTTGAGTATATTATACTATTTCACATGTGATCATTAGCCTTCCATTTTTGCTTGCATGTTAATTCATTTTTTTTTTTCTTCTGAAGTGTTCTGATCATTGCCTAAACACATTTAATTAAGGCAATTTCACTTATTATTTTCCTTTAAATCCTTTTTTCCCTTCTTTACCCTATCTATCAAATATATTACAGAAAAGTTCCAGATAGACCAAGGGATCCTGCTAAGTGGAATGAGATTGCTGATGTGGTTGCTGCATTATCAGTTCCAGTAATAGCAAATGGCGATGTCTTTGATTATGAAGATATTCAGCGCATAAAAAATGCTACAGGTTCAAAAATCAAGACTCTTCCGATCCTTATAGTAGGAATATTTAGATTAGAACTTAACAGAGTAGGTGATATCTAATGCAGTAGGACAATGAGGTAAATATTAGCCATCCAACTCCCAAATATAGAAAAATTGATTTCTAAAAAATTGACAATTGATTTAGATGGTGTCAGATTTTGAGAAAAGAGAACAGATTTGGGTCATGCAGCTCAATGTTGATAATTAACCATTACATCAATAGAGTTTTCATATGTAGTTGTAGGCTTGTAGCTTGTCTAACATGCAATTACTTATTTCAATCATCAATCTGAGATGATCCCAAATGAGAAGATCATTGTGAAGCGGAGGGAGTATTTTGTTTTTCTGTCTATTATCTAATATTATGCTTAACATGGTAGGTGCCTCGTCCATTATGGTTGCAAGAGGTGCTCTTTGGAATGCATCGGTTTTCTCCCCTAAAGGAAAATTGCCATGGGAAGAGGTGAAGAAAGAGTATGTCAGGAAGGTACATATTTAAGAAGCTAAATTCACTGGGTCTAGTCTTTATTGACTTAACATTATAAAGCTAGATGGAAAATATAAACATAGAACATAGAAAATTGCCATAGTTGCATTAAGTTCAGATTTTCAACTTGTTTTGCAACTCCAATTATTCAAACTGGTAAGGTCTGACTATACTCCTAATGTAGGTCAATGTGAAAATTAATGCAAAAAACACTTAGGTTTTGTTAAAGATGGAATGATGGATCATCAAAGTTGAAATTTGGTGGGATAGATTTGACTGTTGTAATTCCAAATCCAATCTCATCTACTGTACTTGAAACTTTCAGTCTGTTTAACTAAAATTTAAAGAAATTAAGCGGTTTAATTTCTCATTAGCATGTACCCTCTTGGCATCTTACTTCACCTCTTCGAACTATTAAGTATTAAGATATGGATTCAAAAAAAGTTACAAACCACTTCAAACTTTCTCAAGTCTATTTGATAGAACATAACTTACATACGAGACCCAGTTTAAGCCCACGTTTGATTTATTCTTGCTGTATGCATTTATATCATGGCTCATGTCATGGGATGTGACAAAATTTTACACTGGCTGTCACTAGCCTACCGAAACCCTCCTCCTCTATCCAGGCTTGGAATTGGCAGCTGGAAAACTCACTTATGGGATTAAGGCTTTGATTAATTGATTGATTTGATTGATTGTATACATTTATGCTAGCTTTCTAGTAGATCAAACTTCAAGCTTTTCGCACTTTTCACTTAGGTCATGTACTAACATAAACTTGCACGTGTTACTAGAGCATCTTGTGGGATAATGAAGTCAAAAGCACTAAGCACACTTTGAAGGAAATGATAATGCACCATTCTTGCCTAGAATTTCCAGAAGGGAAGGCTGTGATCAAATCAGAAACCTTGGTGGATCTTGCGTAAGTTTGATTTTACATATCCATCTCAGAAATTCGAAAGTAAAGTTTATGGCTTTGGCTAATTGATGAGCTTAATTCATATACTTATTTGCTCAATTTTGAAATTTCGTACCACCCTTTCCAGAAAAGAAATTTAAAATTCCATAGTTAAGCATTGTGGTCACTGGGAACCCTATCATATGAGCCTGGTGGAATGATACGGTTGTCTGTCATTGATGATCTTTTAATTTGAAATGTTGTTGGTGCTATAACTTAAATTAGAGTGTGTACTAAGCAACAGAACATATATGACCTGATAGAACTAGAGGAGGTTGTATTAGACAACATGTATTTCTTGTCTCCGCAATGCATTCAGATATACCTGGATTATGAGATTTAAAATGACCAGCTATTTTCATTTAACTGACTTGATTCCATGTTGCTAGTTTGTCTCTTCCTTTTTTGGCTTCCCAAACTATGACCTGTTCCGAGTCTCAATAGACTACTTTTCTTCGTTTGTCCAATTGTCCATATAGTATTCTCTGTTTGAGAGAAATGCAAGTTAAGTGACATTTATATGTTTATCGATCATTTCAGGAAACTTTATGGGGAAGAGGATTATTTCCAGTTTGTCAACAAAAACAGATGACACATAAGGGCTTTAAGGCTTTTGTAAAATGAAACACAAGTGAGTTTTTGTTCCCAAGAAATTTAAATTTGTTAGTTATTAGCTATATACTGCTATTGATAATATACAAGTACATTGGTATATGACTCTGGGCTCTGCTTGGAGAGCTCTCATGCTCTCGTGTTGGGGTAGAGTTAGCTCTCCTATATCTCTGTTTGGAAACATGATTGGAGAGCTCCTAAGACACCCGTTGAACACACATATTCTTCCCATCATCATTCATTGTCTGCCATAATTTGAACTGTGATGTAAAGCTATTCATGAAACTTTGTTGATCGGCAAAGCTGCTATTTGTAAAGATAATTTCTTTCCAGAAAATTTAAGAGAAAAAGAGTCATTTTATTATGGCTTACGTGTTGTGATAATTATTTTTTCACAGATCCTTTCCTGCAAATTCTCATCGAATTTGAGAATTAGGATGCATATCAGGGTTCTTTCTCCTGATTAAGCACATATATAGACTTGCAACTTGCGTCTGATAAGTGAATGAGTTTAACCAAAACGTGCCAGTGGACAAGGTACAATTGGTACTAGTTGGTTTACTTTTATAAAAAAAAAAAATTAAAAAAAAAAAAAAAAAAAAAAAAAAAACCCTTACATGTACAAATTTATGCTGATTAAGACTTTTACCCTAATCATAGTAGATTTTTGTAGATTATAACCGATGTATACTGAACAGATCTGACTACTACTGAAACGTAAAGAGCCTTCATGAAAATTGCATTTCTACGTCACTGCAGTTGTCTACAGCGATTGATTGTGCTGAAGAGTGTTTTATGATTTGAACAAGTGATGAACTCTTACTATTGATATTCTTTGTGGTGATATGCTTTTGACCTGTGTACAACTCGCCTTGGAGATGATATTCCACATTCTTTGTAGTGATAGCTTTCCCATTGAAATTGTGGATAAGTGAGAAGATGGTATCGTTCATGGAATATAAGAATTTTGCATCATTTCAATGTAAAAATTATTCTGCACTTTGATGCCATTTGTTGATACTTTTTAGCATTTGAAGCTATTTCACCCTGGCAATAACGCATGCTATTGGTTATCGCTAAGGTAAGCCTTTATTGAATCTTACAAACTCTTCCGTCATCCAGATTCAATTATCACATTACTAATGCAATGTAGCAACTTGCTGATGCATTTCTTTTGGTCTTTTAAAAACAACCTCCATTGAAATTTGGCTATTACATTACTAGTATGAAGTACTGAATAAGAAATAATTTGGTTTTTACATTACTAGTATGAAGTACTGAATAAGAAATTGATCGTCGCGTTACTAGTTCCAAATTGAAGGCGTATTTGGTAAACTGTAAGCCTCATCAAATCAAATCGATGCCACAGCGAGGTTTTTGGCCCATTATTGACGCATCAGTGCTTGTCGACTGCATTGATTGCAAAGAGCCAATAAAGGTACTCCGTAGTCCGTACATTATAAAGCAGTGAAAAAGATGAAAAGATGCCAAACCACAAACTCTTTCTCATCTGATGATCAAAGTTTGTGAAGTACCATTCCAAATTAAACCCATCATCTTCAAGTGGCCCTACCTATTAAATCGGTGCCATAATCGTTTTTAAGGTATATTATGAATGATGATTAACCACTAATTCTTGCAATTATTATGTTTTTTCTCCTTTCATGATCTATAGAATTAAATCTTTAATGTGATTATGTGAATAAATTGGTTAGTTAGGTGCTATAATTTTAGACTGAATGGAGCTAAACTGAATGGACTAGTATTGAAATGAAATTCTAAATAATCTTTATTCAATGATTTTGCATTTTTCTTCGACTTATAAGTCTTCTTCATCCATGCATAATTGTTCGGATTGAAAAAAAAAAATTGAAATAAACCAGGCCATAGTGTAGCCATATTATCTTTGACGGATAAAAAGGCCTACAATGATAGATTTTAAAAATGACTTGATAGTAAGAACCAACTATATTTGAAAAAACCTCAAATAACCCGATAAACTAATGTGATGACAATTGATTGTATCATTTTTTAACACAAAAATAATCTTTGCTGATATCATGAAATTCAAATTATTCTATTACCAATACCAACTAAGCTCACTTATGTATTATATAAAGTGTGAAAAGACCTTGGAAAATTAAAAGACTATAGAAAATGCAATAATAATACCAGAAAACATGTATTGGTAGAGTAAGATTTGATAGATGATAGTGAGTGTCCTTATCCAAATAATAGAATATATGCATTGAACTTTGAGAAGGTAAAGGGTTAAGACATAAACATGCCCTTTTTTCCTGGGCCATTTGCATTGGTTTAACTTATAATGGCTAATTTTAGTGGTAATAAGTTAGTGGGATTTATTTCTTCTTTTTGTTCACTTCTTTTTCGGGATTCCAAGTACAATAATATAAAGGTACCAAATAGTACCATCAAAATTAAAATGCACTTTAGACTTTAGAGAAATACAACTCCCTTCAATTCACCTAAAAAAATAATAATAGCATTACCCTTCTGATAAAAAGAAATGCGCAAATTTAGCGAAAGTTTTTCATTGACTGCTCCGAAAGTGAAGTATAGCTTCGTTTTAAACCACCCGCTTATCGGGTGGATTAACCGTTTAACGTTTAACGTTGTAAATAATTACAAGTATATTATTAGGGGGTGTCTGGTTCACGGAATCAAGGTATAATTTATGGGTTTAGAATTGGCTAAACAAATACTTCAAACTTCTAAGGTAAAGTGGCTCATATCAATACTTCTATATATCAAATAAAAGAAAAACCTTCCTTCCACAATCAAATCAAACAAATGGTATCAAGAATCATATTTTAAACACATCCCTTACTATATATTTCGTAAAAGTTACTACGGAAAATAATGTATGTGAGATTTGATTTTATAATATAGGTACATATTAATGGTCAAATTAACATTATCTTTGATCCTATAGTTATATGATTGAATATGTGATAGTTGTTGGTTTTTTTTTTTTTACTGAGTTTGTTGTGTTACAAACACTTGCAACAAGTTAACATTTACACTATTTATACAACATTAAATTTGACCATGCTTTCTTTACACAAATTTATATCAAAAATTGTGTATTATTGTACAACCTGTATTGCTCACCTTATTTTCACTTATTTCAAGTTCAGATAAGTTCAGTTCAGGAAAAATAAGTTCTGATAAGGGTTACCTAAGTTTAGATTACAACTAAAATAAGTTTAATAAAGTCTAATAAGTTCATATCAGTGAAAATCAGGTGAATAAACACACGCTAATACAAATTTGCATGTATTTATGGTCAAACATATACATTGACAAATTATTTAGTAATGAGGGTAGTATATGAGTACTGAGTAAGTGAGCTAGTAGCTATGAAACACATTATTTTGGAAATAGCTATGTCATTCTTTGTTAGAGATGAGAGGAAGACACTTATAAGAAAAGTTCATATGTATATTTTGCTAATACCAAATAATGTTCCATTCAAAAAGCCTATTTTCAACCTTAAAGACCTTCAAATTACTGCATAACTCTTTCGAACTGTAATACAAAGAAAAATAAGAGAAGTTCACTTCTTTAAAGGGTTCAACAGTTTTATTATGCGTGTTCATATCAAGCCTTCAATTTGTCAATTGCCTTGCATGGGTTCTTTCTCGAGTAGTGAATTACTAGTTTTACAAATATAAATTAATTGAAATCAGCTCAACAAGTACTAGAAAATCATCGCATGATACTTTGGAATCCCAATTCCAAAATTCTTTCGATTATACAAGTGTTCAAAGAGTTGTAAAAATGAGAACTAATTAAGTACTTTTTGTATTATAATTATAAGCGCTAACTTCTAGAGGAAGTCCTAAATCCTAATGCCTCACCATGCGAAATGCCTCACAAGGGCAAAATAGTAAATCTGTTGTTTTTATCAACATTCTTTGTATGCTTTCTTTGCACACATTTTACTAAAGAGATTAATTAAATAATATAAACGGACATATTAATTAAAATAATTTAAACACATAGTGTCAAATCGTTCAGCGCATTATTCTACATGTTCAAAATTTCATTAAAGTATTCAGTTATCGTCTCTAATCAGCTTCTAAATTTGCATGTCTTGAAGATGTGTTGCAAAGTACTCCGTAAAAGTAATGAAACAAGTATTTTTCTTTTTCCTTTTATTAAAAAGCGTTTCTAATTATGTATATGTGTTATGCTTCATCATTCTCTTTCTCTAGATTACATTAGGAATTCCCCTTGTGAGGAGTACTTCCTAATATTTATTTCTCCTTACCTTTTCAAAAATAAAAATAAATAAATAAATAAACTCTTTCTCTAGATAGATGTCACTTCATCCAATAATTTATACTTTGTGTATATTGGATATGTCAATAGAAAATGCTAATACGAAATGCTTATATATAAGCATCTACATAATTTTGTTATTGTGATGGTTCATTTGCTGAATGTGAGTGTTGGCTTTCTTCTTCTTAGTGGTTTAATGATTGTTTTTTTTTTCTTCTTAGTAGCCCAACATTAGAGAGCATGAATTCAAACTGCTGTGTTGTTTCCTAGGATGCTATGTGATGTCAAGCAATCCCTTCATTCTTGCAAAACTCATAAAAGATAAGAAATTATTGTGACCTTTGCAAGATTAACGCCAGAAGGAGCCTCATAATCGAAATGGATGTGATCAAACATGGATTTTGTAGTGATTATTTCTATCATTAATTCTAAATTCTTAGCAAGAGAAAATGCTCGACTTTAACGCAAAGTTAAAGATTTAAGCCGATTAGCCGACCATAAATTGTATATCAATTAATATATTTTCTAAATTGTTAATATTATATTATGATTGAGAATTAAAATGAAATTAGTCGTCTTACTCAAGACCGAAATGATCTCTCTTTGAAAACGACATTGTATTTCAAATTGTAGTTAGGTAGAATATTAATTGAAGTATGGACAACTCCATTCTCATTTGATTTCCTTATCACATCATTTATATTTGGTGTCCCATTAATAATCACGTCCTTTTCTACTCATTGCCACATAAATTCCATATGATATGTTCGTTATCATCCACAGTACGGACATGCCCCTTCGATGACCGAGACACTTATGTGGCTATGCAGGATTTACCCAATGAGGGCTCGACGTCATTCAACTTTCGACTATAAGCCAAATCCATTCAATTTTTTGGGAATTGATTTTAACACACCAATAATTGATTTTGACACACCCCTATGTGAAAACTGTTAAATTTAGAGAAGAGAGGAAAGATTAGGAGTAAACGGCTTAGCCTTCATCGATTATGCACAAGCGTATATATAGGTTACATAAGATAGGGCCCAACCAAACCCTAATACAATAAGATAATTATACATAAATATATCTTTCCTAATAATCCCCCTCAAGTTGGAGCAAGCAAATCACAAATGCCTAACTTGCGTAACAAATAACCAAATTGTTGACGACCAAGCGCCTTTGTCAAAATATCGGCCAACTGATGATTAGTGGGAACATACGTAGTAGAAATATTGCCTGCTTGTAACACATCCCAAACGAAACGACAATCCACCTTCTATATGCTTTGTTCGATCATGAAAAACGGGATTTCAGGCAATATGAAAAGCATACGGACTATCAAAAAATAACTTCAGAGGCGCAAAACGTAACACACCTAGAACACGAAGCAAAGATTTCAACCACTTAAGCTCACAAGTAGCTACTGTCATGGCACGATATTCAGCTTCCGCAAACAAGCGGGAAACTGTAGGTTGCTTCTTAGTCTTCCAAGAAACAGGGGAACGACCAAGAAGCACAAAGTAAGCAGTCAACGACCTATAAGTCAAAGGACAAGCTACCCAATCATTATCACAAAACGAAAACAAACGCATATCATTCACAATAGGCAATAAAATACCCTGTCCCAGACTCCCTTTAATTATAATATATCACAAAACACCTACGTATCGCCGCATCCCAATGATCAACCTGTGGAGTACTGAGAAATTAAGCCAAGTTATGAACGGCATAACTTAACTCAGTACATGTGATGTGTGACAGACAAATACACACACTACAAGAAAATAACTTTTTCGTAGCGATTATTTTAACATTTGGTGTCGATTGTAATTGCTACCAAAAAAACCCAATGAATGGTTATTCGATACAACATCCGCCGTTACCATAGCCTTTAGTCGTGTTTTTCGCTTTCCATGGGGTTGTCCTCATTAATCGATACGGAAAACTATATCCAATCGTGGTGATTATTATAGTGATAATGTTGAACTCATTTTCTTAAAAAAAAAAAAAAAAAAAAAAAAAAAAAAAAAAAAAAAACATATATATGATTTATACAAGATTCGAACATGCAACCTCAAGCTCTAATATTAAATGTTTTTCCAATAAGCTATGTCATATTTTATGTTCTCTTTGTCAATCAAAATTTTAAAACATAGTGTAAAAAAGGCTTTTCATGTCGATTTTTGGGTTTCAGTGGCGATTGTAAACGATACACTTTTTCATAATTTTATAAATGTGCAGAA